CGTTTTCCTCTTCATCTGCATCCTGATCTTCACCATCGCCCTCATTGTCGTCTTCGTAATCATATGATTCAGAAGAATTTTTATTGGAAGTTGTACATATTGATCTTGATAATCTTTTGTATGCTAAATTATTCATTTCTTCAAAAGATTGCATCATATCATGAGGATTAACAATAGAAAGTTTACATTGAGATAGAATCTGACTAGCTTTAATGTAAGCATTAAAAACTGTTTCTTCAATCAATTGTTCTGTAATTGTAGTTGATATTGTAGACGTTGAGTGTACTTGAAAATATTGTTTAGATTGTTTGTGATGTTTGGGAAATCTAATATTATTGTTCTTGGATTCTGGCGAACACTTGACACTTTGAAGAACAGCGAGTTTCTCGACACGCTGCAGAAACTCGTGAACAGTAAAGTTCACCACAGATGAAAATGGACCGGACATCGAACGAGCTGCACGAAAAGTACTTTCGCATACTTGTGAATTACATAAAAACAATTAATGCTTCTTCAGTAATTTTCTGTTCAGCTCACAGAACAATCAGATACGTCAAGCTATGTGCATTCAGTTCGAGTGAGAAAAGAGCAGGTACTATGATAAAGAAGTTCTTGTTTGGAATAATTCTACCAGCGTCACTTGAGAGCAAATTCGAAGCTCTCTCCTTAAGTTCATCAGCCGCTGTCTCGTGTAACCACGCAGACCAGATCCGTATAATAAAAACTGAACACCAAGCATAGTAAAGACGATCAATTATATTAGTGCTTTTGTCGATAAAGGCCAAACGGACACATTTTATGACCTATCAAAATGAAATTAATAAAATTTGACCGTTCAGTAGTACTCAGTAATGAGGTAGCGAAAACTTTTAAACAATTTTCGTTATGTCATACATAATATTTTGAAAGAGAACTACCTCGATTATATCATATCTAACGACTCCATACTTAGAAAAAGCAAAAAATAGTACTTGTAGACAAGCTTGGGTTGCTTGAGAATTCGAAACATTTTTAATAGAAGAAAAAACAGCATCGCTCGTGATCTTTTCACAGGATGAATAATTTTGTTTGTCCTTTGGGCAAACATCTGATATGGCTAATCCATGATCGATCTTTGAATGGTTCTCAATCAATTCCATGAGATGTTTAATGCTGGCATACCTTTTTCCTATTAATAAAATTGTTTTTGAAGACAAAAGACGGTTGCGCAGCTTAGTACATAAATGTGGCGCATCTTGTAAACATACAAATAGCTGTGATGATCTCAAAAAAAACATGAAGTTTTCTAAACAATGGAAAGCAAGAATGAGAATAAATTCATGTGCTTGAACATTGTTTTTATTGTACTGGAATACTAATATTGTTTTCCGAAAAATTCATTGATAGGTGATAGCTGATGAAAGATATTTTCAGATTTTTTTTTCTAAGAACGATAATTGAAAGTATTTATTGTATTATTTTTAATTCTCAAGAAATAAAATAGATTTATATGAGAAGAAATACTTCGTCAACCTATAAATAGACACCGAAGACATTTATTATCCTCTAAGTAATATGAAGAAAATCATCAATCCGTACAATTATAATCGTTTACTCGAATCCCGATTGATTTTCTTTTTCATATGAAACTAATTATACTTGTTCACTCACTCTAAGTAAAGAAATTTCAAAACGATTAGGATGTTCTTCAAATCCCATGGAGTCCCGCATTGCTTTCATTTGTTTTGGATCACAATCTGCTGAGAAGCCTAAAATTCCAATATTTTAATTCATACATGAATCAAAAATACTTGACCATCAATCGAGAACATCTTTAGCTGTATATTTACTGTTGGTACCGTAAGCAGCAAGAAGGAATGGCGGTGGTGATATTTGACCGATAGGACATATTGGTTGAATCATATGTACATTGATAAGAGATGATTTGTCTATTTCTTCATACCAAGTTTCAAGTTCACCAAATGCACTGGTAGAAAAGTAGCGTGGACAAGTTAAACCCAAAAAAAGAGTTCGAACGTGAGTCAGAAGAAACTTTTGGTACCACCACAGTACTGTCTTCTCCACAGAATGCGTACTTACAGTCAAATGAATCAATAAAGTCCTTAAAACGTTCATATTGAAATTCACCTTCAATGAAATGCTTTTTAGAAGATATCAAAATTGATCGTAAAATACTAAAACTAGGAATCGACCCTGGAATATTCAACCGAATGAATTCATAAACCGTACGGCCTCCTAGAAACATATTTGATATAAAATCCAATGAAAAATCTGTTAATAAATGCCTTTCTAGACAATATATTTAGATCTAATAAGAACGGATATTGCTGAAGAAGTTCAGATGAAATTGTTAAAGGCTTGATGTTTACTGACGATGAAGGACCAGTAGATGAAGGAAGAGCACGCAGCGAACGAATAAATTTTTCGAGTTTCACACGAATACCAAGCATAACAAAAAATGAATAGTTTTCCTAAATTGTTTTTGCTTGGAATACTCAAAAATTCTTTGATTGATGTTGTTTGAGTTGATTCGATTTGAAGAATGAAGAAGACATCATCGACTTCAATCAAATCCATTGAAAAATCGATCAGCTGAAATTTAAGTAATTCGACGGACTCTTTACCACAAAAATCTTCTACCAAGTAGTAAAAAGAATCTCCACGAAGCGACAGTGCATTAGCTGGAAGAAGAAAATCCATCTGAAATATAGAATTATTTTAAAAAAATGTTGTACAATAAAAGAGCAGAATAATAAGTTGCCTTTCTAACTTCGAAAAACGTTACGGTTTCTTCTAGTAATTTATTCCTGATAAAATTTCCACCCCAATAGAGTGTTTCGTATGTTAAATCCACTAGAAAACCTGAAATTTTTAAACTAAATTCTTGATGTTGATTATAGTCAAGCTTATAATTACCTACAAGATCACAGGAAAATAGAATCTGTTATTAAAGAAGTATTTATATATAAACCTATATCTGCATTCGCCATAGAACATTATGAATAAGCT